TCAATGTTTTTTTTCCAAAGCTGCAAACAAACTAAATAAATATTGTGTTTTTAACAACTTCAAGAATAAGTTTTAAAGTTTTAAAAACAGTTTGGCCTGAAAGAAGATTTGCTGTAATCCAGTGGTGGTTGGTGCTTTTCTCTCCAGGAGGGTGCTATAACAAAATCTGAAATTCACTGTATATACTAAGAGTCAAACACACAAATATATTCAATAAAAGTCAATAAAAGGGATGTGTCTTTGTTCGTTAGGCTGAATGAACATTGGTTTGTATTCAGTGATTAAAGTTAGAAGTGTCTGTAAAGATGAATTTAATTTGTTCAAGGTTTTAAGGCTTCTTTGTAGGAGCGCTTCAAATCAGTCATACCCAACCAAATTCAGGCGGGAGGAGAAAAATAAAGCCTGACCGATGTTACCCATCCTTGAAAACACTGTATAATTTCTCCTTCTGTTTTTAAAATGCTGTTTATTTTGATTCCCGGCTGTTTAGGTCTGAAATCTCAGCTTTCTCCTCTCAAACAGCATCATTTTCACCCACCTCACAAAGTTCTCTTTCTTCATTTTGTACATAGCTCCCAGTGACTCCAGCAACCATTCTTGTCCTCGGGTTCAACAACTCTCTTCATGTCTTAATTAAAGGTACAAATCTCTTTTGCTGCCACTTGCTAGCCGTTGGTGTGTAAAGTGATAGAGGTGCAATTAGCTGTGCCCCGAGGAGCTCCTGTTTATCATACTGAAGAGGAGCAAATCAGCGTGTGCAACTTATAATAAGAGTCAATGAAGGCCCAAATGTTTGTGTAACTCTGGACACAAACAATTTGAACACTCTTTTTTATTACAGCTTGTTTATTTTTATCTACTAGCGATGAAATATGTTCTTTGATTTAAAAATAACTAATTTTTATATCAATGAAGTTCAACGGTGGTCTGCCTTTCTTTAAGTAGGGAATGTTGGAGATGATACCCACCTGTGTGCACCAGATTCACACAGCTGTTAAAAATTATAACATAGAAACAGTCAGTTTTATTACTGATGGGCTTATTTGTTTTTGTATGTCATGAACAGGCATCAAGATGAATTTCTGACTATTTCATAAACATCAAAAAACTCCTTACTGGAGCTTTGAATAGACCGTACCATCGTGGTGAACAAAATCTACAGACATTGTTCTTTTCTGATGGTAACATGAATTAGGTGTCCAGTGTCTGTGATGTTTGGACATGATTTTCCTGTTGTTGCCTCAGTGGGGGAATAAAACAGAGGAGAGACCTCTCACGGGATTTGTGTGATAAACTTTTGTATAATTTGTAACAAAGACTGAAAATTTTTTCCCTCTTCCTTAAATCGGTTTTGAAGACTCGTCAAAGATAGTATATATATAGAGAGAGGATAAAAAGTCCTGTAGTTTTTACACTGGGGTGTGTTTGGGTTTAACAGACTTTGACATAGACATCTCTTTAATTAACTCATTTTTTAGGACAGCAGATACAAATATAAACAAGACATGTAAGATATCATGTATAGTGAACAGGTGGTTATGGGTATTATAATCTCGATTGGGTGAGCAAGAACTTGACTAAAACTGGAATGCTTTCTTTTTGCTCTGTGCCAATTTACTGTAATTTTATTATTGACTCTCAGGACCATCCTGGAAGAGCTGTGATGCATGTGTTTGTGTATTTTCTGGAAAGCCTGACCACCTGACTGATTTCAGGAACTAACAGCGAATGTTTGTGTGATTTTGCTGTATTTTTTTAGCCCCAATGTTAATTCACTAATCACCAAACACTGGGTGATATTTGGAAAAGTTTCAGCCAGAAACTTAAACAACACAAGACGCACAGTGAACATGCATCCATGTCGATCTTGGAAAGAGGGATTGTGAGAGATGCAGAAGATGGAAACAGATAATACAGATTAATAAATATAGTGCCAATGATAATGACCAAAGTATAGAAACTTTTTTGGATAGGACCGCTGAAGACCTAAATGTCAGCTGGGAACCTCCACCTCTTGCTCCCAGTGATTTCTGCAGGCTGCTGTTACAGGAAAATCATATTCTCTGTTGGTCCGCTTTCAGACACGTGGGAACTCAGATTTCATGCACCTTCCTTTTCACATGTATTCAGTTTGATATGCATGTGCACCAAGAGTCCTGTACGGAAATGGTTCAGTACAAATATTGTGTACATGTGCACCCTTATCATGCAGACAGAGTAGAGAGAGGGAAAGACAGAAGCTCAGTGTGCAAGTTCATGCCTATAGTGACACATTAGGTCCATGCCTGAGCTAAGTTATGAGCCTCAGTACAATGTTACCTACCTACCAGACTCTGAAGGTTCAACCTCCATACTGCTTTTGCTGATATTTGGTTTCATAAACTTGGCCTGTATCAGGGTGTGTCTGCACTCCTGGGAGAAAATAATACTAAAGAATAAAGTAGATCAAATGTCCAGTTGTCAAAACAGCGGGATGTTTATGTGTCATGTAAAATGACATGATGATCAGCTGTGAATAGTCGAGGGGCTGTGCGGCTTTCAGCAGGTAGTTTCAGTTTTGAAAGTGCAGGCCTCTGAGAGCTGCTGTCTATTTCTGAAGGCACTTTGTGCGCTAACTTTAGTTTCTGCAGCAGCTCTGCTCTGAACATGGACACACATTCTGAAACTGAGCGGCCATAATGAGCTGCCTCAAGTCCGAGCAGATAACAGTGGGAGGCTCTGTGCTTTGTCTCTTCATTTATTGAGTCGCAGAGCCAGATCCTCTGCCAATCAGGTCATCATATTGTACACAAACATGTTACTTCACTACTTTCCATTGATGGAAACATCGTAGAGGCTTATGCAGCACCTGGTCTGTGCTGAAATCTCCAACATTGAGGTTTAATTGGCCTTCCAGGAAAGAGTATAGCATTCAGGGCCTTGTGTCAGCAGGTGCTGTGTTAAGCTACTGTCAGCTGATGAGTGCTGAGTTGAGCTACTTATCCTGGAGTTCCTGGACTTTATTTTTAACCCAGCAGCACCTGACAGGCCCGAGACCTGGGGGAGACCTCAGAAGGTGACGGATGAGTGGCAGCCGAGAGGAGGAAATATAGATGGAGGGGAGAAAGAGTGAGGAGATATGCACAATAATTAGGTGCAGAAGCACATAAAGATGCAGTCACAGCAGAGCGGGAGGATGGAGGAGTTTCTGTCACGGCGGTGATAATGAGGAAGCCTGTTGATGCAAGTGTTGACATCTAAGCAGAGAAGAGACAATTTACAGTGAAAAAAAATCATCTTTTTGCATAAGAGGAGCAGAAAAGCTGTGATGAAGACGGCTGCAGAAACAGTTTGGTGGAGATGGAGGACAGCGGGAGTGAGAAAGTGAAGAAGCATAACATGCCATCTTGAATCTGACCTACTTTTGGCCTCTTCGCTCTCCTGCTCCTCTATCACTCCGCTCAAATCTCGCACCTTAGCGTTCATCGGAGTATTCCAGCAGGGTTTAATCATTGAGGCTGAGGGCTGCATTGTTACCAAGTGAGCAGATAAACACACCTAGCTGGCCTAATTTCTCCAAGCAGGAAGTAGCGGTGGTGGAAAAAAAATACCAGTCCAGCTGCAGCTGATTATAGTGAGACAAACAGGTCCAACCTTTGGACTGAAAACCTTTCTCTCCCTGCAGGGTTGCGGTCCCGGTCTGCACGCTATGAACTAGTTTTTGAGAAGATTGGCACAAGCAGACCAAAATTTCAATAATTATTGAGACTCATGTTTGAGTCAAAGATTAAACTCGACATATTAAGATCCTACTGTGCTGAGAATGCACTTGTTTTTCACAGTGGGAAAACACAGTCACACATTGTATTTAGATAAAACAGGAATAAATGAGAGTTTACAAAGTTTTGTCACTGTGATGTTAAAATTGTACTATCTGCATCCTACAAAAAGTTCTGTATTTTGTCCATTTGCATCTAGACACATGACAGAATTTGCCCAAATGGGTCACCAATCATGTAGAGCACCTGTCACGCATGGACTCACCCCCGGAATAAATCAAGTATTCCTGATTCTGTTGTAAAGACCTGGAAAAGCTGTGCCACTACTACACTTACACACAAAATCATACCTTAGTAGTGTACTACAATGAGCTGGTTGTGATTGTCCAATTTCAATCTTACATTAACTTTTAGGAGCAGGTATATTGTACTGTTTTTTTGTGAGTTCATGTTTTAGATACAGCCCTTTTTACTTTTATAGTGTAGTATTTTTACTGTATGGGGTCACGACTGTTATTGTCTTTCGTGGCTCCTGTAGCCAAACATTCATTTACTAACAATATGTTAGTACAACTGCGTGCATATTTACAGTTACAGGTGTGTTTGAAAAATTTTGGTGTGGTACAGCAGTTTGATATTTAATATTACTCATGTTCTCTCAAATGCAAAAACGTCCATGTAACACCTGCTTTGCATATTATCTGGTGACCTTTTCACTCGTTGGTGTCAGTCTCATAAAAACTGGGAGGGATGATTATTTCTACACAATCTGATGTCGTCATCTCATCTTGTTCCTTGTCACATCACTGTTATGCAAGTTTTGGAGAAGTTAAGAAATGCTTACAGTAAGGCTGTCTGAGGGGAAATGCTGGCGTCATTTCTCCACCCGCAACAAACAACAACCAAAAAAGGTCTTTCTGTACGAACCTGCTGGTTTTTCTGCAGGGCTCTTTACCTCTGGAGCAGGTGGGACCTCGTGTTCCCAGACATCAGCTCTGATTTATCGTGGTCTGAGTCAGAGCTACATTTAGCTGATGATTGAAGCTTGTGTCCCAGCTCTCCCAATGTAATTTAGTCTGCCTCTTAAACATTAAAATTGGAGTCTAGAGGTGGCAGAGCTGAAGTCTGCACTTTCTTCTCCACCAATAACAAGCTTGTGGCTGTGCAGTTAAACAAAATCCTGCTTATGAAACCCCCACCAATGTGAGGTCACCGTTGGTCAGAAAAAGGACAGACGAGAGCCAAAGTTTTTACCAGTAATTTTATTTTGAGATATTTTGTAGAACAGGGGAACCAATGATTACAAAAAAAGTCCATAAGTGTTCTACATGCTACACCTTAACCTAATTCATCATGCTTGCTTGGAAAAAGTACATAGAAATTTAACAAAAAACGTACAATTAAAACTGACGTACATTATACTCACCATTGACTTTACTTTAACTGTACCTTTCTCCTGCCTCCATGCACGCATTTACATAACATTAAGATAGAAAATTAAGACTTTAGGCGCTTCTTGAAACCATAAAGCAGTTTTTCCACTAAAAGACAGAACGCACCTATAAATAGAAAACAAAATGAACAAAAAAAAAAAAAAAGAATGATATCCATTTGGACAAAATTGGTGGAAAACAGAAAGCCTCAACTCCTTTCCGAAACAGAACAGATGAATTTGCATCCTACCGTAAAACAAAAGGAACACTTACACGCCCATATAGTGCCGAAATGAAACTGGAAGTCTGTCCAACTCCTCCATCTTCAATAATCACATTGAAATAACACATTTTTGATAAAATAAATATCACACATCTGCTAGAAATAAATAATGATTACTGAAACACCTCACTATGTTAAATGCTAAAAGTGAGACAGATTTCATCTACGCGACCACTTCATTTCATGGCATGAGGATGGTCATGTGTGTAAAGCACTAGTGCGGCTTCGAGTGTCTCTCGCGGCTGTTACCTTGAGGTAGATAACACATTTACATTAACGCCTACGATAATGGTTGCTGCTGGCATCATGTGTCGATTTACAGTATGAAAGGGTTTTTAAGGAAGCTTTCGTCAGGGAAAATAAAAATGTCATTAAACAAACTTTTTTTTAGAAAAAGGACATCCCAACCCCCCCTTTTTTTTCCTTGAATCCCCTCCCGAGAAAATGTGTTTGAAAGCACTTATAATGACTACAGCAATGTTAGCATCTACCGTCCTTCCTTATGTCACACCCAAACAACCAAACCAAATCTCTTCAATCAGAAACCATCTCCTTACATCCACTCTCTCCTCCAGATGACTCTCTCTCCTTCTCCTTCTCCACGTTTGTCTACAGTACTTCAATGTGCGGGTGACATGCCAGTTTAGCAATGAGGGCGTAGACATTAACCCATGAAGGCCTGGTGATCAAGGCTCAGAGTGATGACCCAAACTCCGTAATAAACCACCCCTCTCAATTCTTAAAAAAAAGAAACAAAATTAAAAGTAACCGTCATAAAAAAGGTATGAAATGATTCAAGTACAATAATATACCATGTTGTTTAAAAAAACAAAACAAAAAAAAAACATAAAAACAAAACTGCCTAGTTTTTGCACTGTCAGGGAGGATATATATACTCTTAATTAAGATGCTTGAAGATGCTGCTGTATGTTTTATGGGCAATTTGTGGTGAGCATTTGACAGCGCAGGGGGTGAGCGACGCCTGGATGGATTTTAAAGGCAAGTCATCAGTACTGTCAAAGCCGGGCAGGGCCAGAGAGTCCAGCTGCACGTTGAGCACAATCTCTGTGTTCCTGCTGAGGAAGCTCTCCTCCAGCTCTCTCATCTCCGAGGGCTCCATCTCTGTAGTGGACACAGTCTCTGCGACCACCTCTTCCTTCCGGCTGAACAGGCGGTCCAGGTAGCTGGTGTAAGTGCTCTCCTTCTGGAAGTGGTCCTCTTTGCGAATGTCCCAGCAAGCTTCATCTATCAAACAGCCGCTCTCGCTAATTTGTTCCCCGGAGCCGAAGCTTTCCCAGGGCTGAGCAGGCCGGACACCGTCCCCCAGACCTCCTCCGCCTAACTGGGCGAGGTTAACCAGGCACTTCTCTTCCTTCTCCTGACTTATGGACTTGGACATGGAGCCGGAGCGAGGAGGCTCCAGCTGGGAAACAGAGGAGTTGAGCTCGTTCAGGAGGCCCACTTCGTGGAGCAGCGCGGCCTCCTGACACGGCTCGGGCTGCAGGCTCAGTTTGATGGTGCTGGCGATGAAGGAGTCAAAGTCAAAGCCCTGGTTCTGCTGGCTCTGAGGCTTCTCTGTCTGATGTTTCTCCTGCTCTCTGTCCTTCTCCACCGGACTCTGGGTCTTCTCTGCCTCCTGCAGCGCTATCTGAGCCTTTACCAGCCCGTTCTTCTCACATTTGCTCTTGGCCTTGCGGTCGGCCTTCTCCTTGCTCTGCTGCTCCTTCCAATTGGAGAGGTCGATGATGAGCTTAGGCTCGTAGTAGTGGTTGACTTCACTGTCTCGCCAGATGAGGTTGTCCAGGTAGGAGGGGGACACGGCCTTGTAGTTGCAGGTGTGGCTGCACTGCAGGTCACAGTATTTGTTCTCGTGGTGGTCGTCCTCCTGCCAGGACTGCTCTGGCTGAAACATGGTGGAGTAGTCGTAGGACGGCTCGTCCAGGAACTTCTCCCGATCTCCATCAGCATATTTACGAGGATCCACCTGAAAAAAGATAGCAATCGTTTATTTTCTTATTTCTCTGTCAAAAGGAAACTTGAGTGAGTCAGCGGCATAAATGTTCAAGCCTGGAAAGTAGCCACCGGCCTACAAAGATTTACCGACGCTGCAATTCTTATGTAATCTTTGTTGGCCAATATCGCGCTCGATCTGTACTCCTCACATTTGGGAAACAGTTTCTTTGCACAACTCTCATACGTAAGCGTTCAAAAGTGTAGAAGTGAAGTACTAAGAGTGGAGATGTCGCTGTCGGATTAAAACATACCTGAACCTCCTCCTCGTCCGTCACATCAGAGAGAGCCCTTGGATCAACTTGAACTTCATCTGGGTCATGAGTGCTGTGCAAGTGCCAGTCAGCTTCAGACAGCTGGCTCTCATGATACCTTATTGGGAACAAGAGGGAAAACTTAAGTACACAGAACGACAACAAACACACAAAGTCAGTACTGGTTCTCACTATGCAAACAAACCATTAAAATATGTTCTTTTTCTTGTTACGTAATCTGTATATCCAAAATAAGACTGCTTTGGGAGCAGAGACAAATATTTTCCACTCAAACTAAAAGTCACAGAGGAAAAAAAATAATCTAAGTTTGAATCCCTGAGGTGGGTCAAAGAGGGAGCAGAACTGTGAGAAGACAAAAGTGAGTAAACAGACCTGTCCCAGGTGTGGCTGTGGCTCTGGTCCATGAGCAGGATATCATCGACTTCATCCTCAATGTGGAAGGGGTGCAGAGAGATGGGCTCGTCTAGGGGGAACGAGTAGTCAGCCATATAGGGGTGGGCCAGGGCCTCCTCTGCGGTCAAACGATCCATGGGGTTAAAGGTCAGGATCTTCTCCAGGAAATCCAAAGCTGCAGTGAGAGAAGTACAACGATGAGATTATCAGGTATGAAACGTGTTGTGTGACGTATGAGAAGTCCTGACTAGAGCATGACACGGGAGCCGATTTTCACTCCTGTCCTGTCCCACTCCCAGAGAAAAAATCCCGTCCCAATCCCAGACCAGAGTAAAAAAATTAATCCTCTCCTGTCCCACTCCCACTCTGTCCCGCTCCCATTTGAATAAATCCAAACATGTTGAAAAACGTTGCATTTTTTTATTTTAAAATTACCTACAAAAATTTAGGTAAAAGTGACAGCCGAGTCGGAGTCACTTTTCACTTGCGGTGGTGACAGGAAGTCAAACCACTGTTGTAGTTCTTTTGTGTTGCTAGCACGGTCAAGAGTGTTAGCTCTCACTGAGAGATGACTACAAAAATGGACGCATCTGTTCATCTGGTTGTTTAACACGGCTGAAAATGATCTATTAATGTTGTTCCCGCTCCTGTTGCTTTTTTTCCCGTCCCGTCCCAATCACGGGATTAATTAAAAAATTACTCCCATCCCGCGGGATTCCCGTGGGAATCACACGACCCACGGGAATTCACGAAAAATGTCACCCTCCAGTCCTGACCTTTATGTTGGGTGTGCATTCTAAGAGTACTTCATAATTCAAGAAGTACTAAATAAAAACTAATAAGAGTACTCACCCTGGGGACTGACTTCAGGCAGCAGCTTGGCCAGTGGTGTGTGAGGCGTGGACATGTCGTTACGGATGAAAACGGGGATGACGCTGTGGAGCTCCTGACGGTCCTCCTCTCGCAGCACAGGGATGGACTCCAGTATGAGCTGCATCTGCTCCAATTCGTGGGCTCCTGAAAGAGCAGGCACACAGACAGCGGGCTTTTTCTTAGAATAGTTACACAACAACATCCAACAGCGGCCAGACTGAACATTGTGGATCATGAGAACTGGGATATTATTTGCCCTGCGCACAGCTCTAGGCACTTTCAACAAACAAGAGCAGACCGTCTCTCTCTCTCCCAGCTCACACAGATCTGGAAGGAGAGCAACCGGGGCGATAAGCGCAGACTGACTCAAAGCTTGTCTGTTCTGAGCAAATACACATGCACAAGTAGGATAAAGACACCTCATCAGATCTACAACTCTATACTTACCTCATCAGAGGAACCTAGCCTTCTCCAAAGATTATGCCTGAGTATATTTACATATGAGGTGTTACTGTGACTCACACGGAAGAGTCAACACTTACCAGCAAAGAGGGTTTTCCCTGTGAGCATCTCAGCAAAAATACAGCCGGCGGCCCACATATCGATGGCTTTGGTGTAGTTGTTGGGAGAGAGCAGCAGGCGAGGAGACCTGTACCACTTGGTGACGAGACCTTCAGAAAGATGGCCCTGATGGAGGGAAATATTTCATGGGATAAGAAAAAACCCAAAGCAAAGAAGAGAAGGAAAAAAAAAACCTCTGAACTGTAAAACTTTGGATCTAGCTTTGTTTATGAACTCCTGAGTCCAAATGTTTGTTTTTTTCCTGGCTGAGAAGCTTTCAAACCTGCTCTCTCTCTCTCTCAAATATGAAAATATTTTAATACTTTGATTTTCATGTGCCCTAATGTTTGCCGCTCAACACGAGGCCACAGATCACACCATGCCTGCTGGTCCATACTAAACCCCGTGACCCCCCTCCCCCTGTGCAGTCTCCTTGACGGACCTGCTCTGTGCTGGTCACGTACGCAGCCCAGTGAGGAGACAAAGACCCCAGAGAGAAAAGACAGATGAAAGGGGGGGAGATCGGACACGTGCGGGCCCTGTCAGCAGTCTGAGAGAGCAGGATAATCCCCTGCTGCCACACACTCGGCTCACCAATGACACACCAGTGACACCAATCTACACTCCGCTCTCTCACACGGTGCCTGACTGCTCACAGAAGCAGGAGGACACCGGACACACAGAAAACGGAGTGTGTGTGAGTGTGTGTGTGTGTGTGTGTGTGTGCGTGCACTGGGATACTGGGGGAGGGGATGCGGTAAAACAACACCGTTGCTGCCCCTCGCTCTCCCCCTCCGTTCAGCGGTCACTTGTGGTGAGACCAAAATGGTTGTCTCCTCTTTCCGCCCTAAGTTAGCCACGTATGCTTGATGTCACCCTGTCCAGGAATAAATCATACGCCACACTTTTTTTTTTTAACGGGTCTGTACCACGCTATAGAGCCTGTAGATCGCACAACAACCTTTAATCCATTTGTCTTAGCCTAACAGTGGCTTTCAACAAGCTTGTAAGGAGGTCGTGAGGTATTACGAGGTAGTAGCTCACACATGCAGGTCACTCCTCACCTACTGACTGAAACGTGCGAGCCAAACACAGCACCTGCTCTGAGAAACAGCCACTGGTTTTATCTGACCTGTGTGACTGTCGTTAGTTACCATGGGGAAATACATACAACCGAGCCGCACAAAACATTGCGACAGAAATGTAGATTAGGTTCGCTGGAAAGAGTGTCAGGTCATTGCGAAAGGGCAAGTCTATGCGCAGTGGACTCTGAACTAACAAGGAGACGATTGAAGTTCACATTCCTGCTGAAGGCATCAACTGTGCACGGCAGCCGGATTTGTACTTTTACTGATCATTTACTAAAGTGCTCACTACGAGGACAGACACACGGGCATGAAAGCATCAGCCATTCTCAGTACCTCTGGCAACAGTGGGCGAGTACGTAAACCACCTGATCTAGATCTGACCGGGCTGACATTTAATGACTCATAAAGACTCCCTTAGTGTGTCAGGCTGCCGTTGGTGGGAGAAACCTTCAGCAGCTCTGACCAGATGGTATTAAAAAAAGGTAGGTTTGCCTTTTCACAGAGGCTGTTGATTGACGACTAAAACGAGACACTTTTCTTTGCTGCAGCAGATGTATTTTAGTCCTAACCCACCCACACACACGTGAATCTGTTCACAGGCAAACCACTGAGCTGTAAATAGAAGGATAAGTGGAGCTTCACTGCAGACGCACACAGACATAAAGACCCTACACGGCTGAAGTGCTGATTCTCTTATTCACGGCTGGCTTTGATTCATGTGACGAAAATGGAAAAACAAAACAAATAAAGACTCGCTGATTCTGAGTCCTTAATATCAGGACACCCTACTTCATCTCCTCATAAAATTAATATCATATATTTCGGATTGTTGTAAAAGCTACCACTACTTGAGAGAAAAGGAAAATCATCTCTTGACTAAAGAAGAAAGAGGAACCATGTGTCTGAAATTGACTGCATTTTAAACTCCACTCCCATGCATTATTCTGGTGAGATCATGTGAAGTCTGGTGCCGGGCAGGGCCGTTTGCTGACAAAATAATTAGGTCAACTGTGTGCGCTCCTCAGCTGTGTTGTGCAGAATGCCCGTGTGAGTCAAAGGACCTCTCTGAACCCTTCACCCCTCTTTTATTATAACATTCCTACAAAGCTTTCAGTTTATTGCCTCTCCGGCATCACATATCACCCTCTTTAGGTCGAGTCACAGGCAGACACAGGATCGCACATCCAACTGGTTTTCAAGTTTACATTAGTGAACCTAGTTTAAATTGAATTACAATGCAAATAGACCTCACTACGTATGCCGCTTATCTTACATCTCCAGTCCTTATTTCACCTCTGAACTTAAAACTATGTGTCCACAGGGAGCAGATGGAAAATCACTCAGCTAAGACGCACGTCTAAAGAGCTAATGAAGTATCCAGGAGTAGCTTACAGCCGCAGCTAGCCTTTGTTTACAACCACAGAAGAAATACTACAAACCCGTACTGAAGTATTATATCCCCAATACCTCATTTTCTTTGGAAGGAAAGGGGCTTACAGTGTAAATTCACATAAGCTTTAGGTGAAGACTTGAACCAGCTCCCACAGCAAGACAAAGAGCTGGCTGGGAAAAAAAAGAGAGGGGAGCGAGGGTTGGAGAAGTTAGACGAGTGCACGTGAATTCTTGTCATTCTTGATCCTGAGCCACCACGAGGGTTGGCCTTGCGGTTCACACAGGCAGAAACAACTGGTTTTCTCTCAACAATGGAGAGGCGGCACAGAAACACGGGTACTTTTGGCAAGCCGCGTACTACATACTTAACACAGAAGCCTGATGGATTAATGGAAACCTGAAGGGCATCATGAGCGGGGATGTTTTCTCTAACCCGAGCTACACAAAAACAGCAGTAGACGTGGGTGGAAGAAGGTGGAACAAATACTCTGTGCTTCACCACCGATGCATGAATCTAAATACATCATTAGTGAATCTCCGCCAGGGTCTGAGCTTCACTGGGGGAGAGGAGCTTCTTTATATAGAAGTGGTGTTATTCAAATAACATGCACTCAGCTACACAGCTGCTCTAGCTCAGCCTGCCTGATTCAAGTAGAGACCGGTTGTGAAAGCAAATTTGCCTCCATGATTCTGCCTCTAATGTCTGGCCGGGCACTGAAACCAACTGTTTTTCTACACCTCCACACTCCACTGGGCACCACAGTGTCATGTGAAGGAGATATGTTCATTTTCACACACGCCTCATTTGGTAAGTGACACCAGACACATCCGGAGGACTGCATGTGGTTTCACGTTAAAGAGGCTAGCTGGGTCCTCTCCCCCAAACCAAACCAAACCAAAATGCTATTGTTATCACAGTGGAGACAGAAACTGCAGCACAGTTTAGAAAAGGAGAGCAGGGTCAAGCCTATTAGAGTCAGTGTGCCTTCAGTGTCTGTACCCTCATTCGACAGCAGTAGTCTGCTGCAGGACTTAAGCAGACAACGGAAAAAAAGGAGCTGACCCAATGCAGGCAGCTTTTCAATAACCCCTAGCCTGCATGTTTCCCCCTGCCAGGGGAAAAACTGCTTATATAGACGGAAAAATACATGGCTTGAATTGTTCCAATATTTATACAGACACACAAAATGACCCTAATACAACCAAGGACACAGGGTCGGGGTATTTTGTGTACAGCTTTAGGATCAGGTATCAGTAAGTGCACCAGCATTTGCACCGATTTGTAACCAGAATTTGTTAGCCTTAAAAATATACTGAAATGTACTGACGGCAAACAGGAGACGATTTATTCATGGAAATCTCCCTGTTGTTGCTAAACCGGACCAAATCAGGTTAAGTTTTAAAACAGACACTGTTAGGAAAGCATGGTGAAACTGTTAAAAGTCAGATGAGCATATAGCCTTTGAATCTGGGACAGAAACCCACAGGCAGCGATCTGCTCCAGACAGAAGTCAAACACGCGAGACAGCTGACCCCAAACAAGCAACTTTTCGATACCCTTCTTGTCTGTTTGTTTCCACATCAAGAAAAACTGCCCTCATACATGAAAAAAACGCCCACATGGAAAACCCAGCTGAAGGTGAGGAATGCACCGACACTGAGCAGGTTTCTCGACTGACTGAACCGTGTGAGAAACTCTCACTCATTCCCGGCAAGTACGAAGCTTTGTTTTCCGCTTCCTGAGAGACAACCATTGTCTTCACCACAGATATGACTCATATGAGAATGAAGAAGTTGTGACTAGAAACGTGACGACGCGACAGAAACACGGCAGTAGTTGTAGTAGTTATAATAGTTGCGAGCTGAAACGGGTCGTTGTAGTAAGCGAGTGTGTGTAAGCCTGTCTCAGGGGGATGTCTGGTGCGGCTCCTGGATGTGTAGTGGATATGAATGAGGCCGTGTTAGCCAGAGGAATCACATCACGTGAGCCCGCTTCAGACTGTCCGATGACTAATCTGAGACACGTGTAAGCATCTGACTACCTCGGTGCTCTAAGATGCAGCAGCTACAGTGTGGGAGGGAGGGAGATTTCCCAAACAAGATTCCCTCACATCACTCCACCATATGGCCTCAGACTGGAATTTCCTCATCCCTTTATAAGGTGACAGAAAGACACAAGGGCAGCGCAGCCTTCCACCTGGCTACAATTACACAGGCTAAGCCATACTGTTCACACAGCAAAGATAAAAGACTTTACTGCGGCCGTTACACAGCTTCACAAACAATATACAGGTTGAAAGGGAACATTAACATGTCTACATTGCACATTTGTTGAGCGAACATCTGGCTTTTAATGCTGCAGTTATATATTGCTGGCAACGGGTGCAAAGAAACAAGAAGAGAAGAATGTAACACAAAAAAACAGCCTTCCCTGAGACCCAGTTTTCTTGATTGGATGGTTCATATGCGTGAAAATGGAGAAATGACCTCGTGAAAATGGTAGAAGGAAAACATGTGCTCCAAGATATAAATAGATTCTTATGTGTTTTTATGCCTATAATGGATCTGCTGAAGCCTGGAGCCTTCAACATCACCATCAGAGGCTGAAGAAAGCTCAAGGCTGAACTAACCCTGCTACAATCACACATTTGCTGTCTTTTTCCCACCTAGGAGGAGTGCAGATTTGCTTCATCTTTTTATATGATGAACCCACTCATTTTTATATTTAGATCTGGAATTGAGCCTGTTTTCACTTCTAGCTGTATACACTTGTAAGCGGAAAACAAACAGTTCCCATGGTTGTGCTTCCCGCAGCCTCAATTCTCCTGACAAGGGAAATGGAGGCGTTACCTCCAAGAACCACATCCCGTCTTGTTTATTTCCTGCAGTGAAACTGCGTCACCCCAGGGAGTCCGGACATAACTAGTGGGCAATAACCTAAACATCACGTGTCCGTGCAACAAAGAGCTTATCTTTGGGCACAAGGTTTGCAAATATTTAACAAGTGCTCTTCTCGGAACTTACATACTGCCTATCTCTGCACTCAGCAAAATCTAAACACCCATTTATCACAATTACCAAAAGACTAGGACTGCTGCTTAAAAAGTGGTCCTACCTTGTGAGAGTAGTGGGGGTCCATAATGCGGGCCAGCCCAAAGTCCCCGATCTTCAGCACCAGGTCCTCTGTGTTGACAAAGAGGTTGGCAGGCTTGAGGTCACGGTGCAGCACGTTTGCAGAGTGGATGTACTTCAGGCCCCTGAGGAGCTGGTACATGAAGAGCCTGGCGTGGCCCTCAGACAGGAGGCCCCTCTCCAACAGCTGACACAGGTCTGTCTCCATGTACTCCTGCACGATGTAGACAGAGTTGACCTCTGTCAGGGACACCACATCTTCTGTTAGCCTGCGACCGTTGGGGCCTAGTGTCTCAAACACCTGGTGAAAGAAAAAAACAAAAGCTTAGTATTGCCCCGTTTATACAAGAGGGTGTAAATCTACCCTGTTTCCTTTCAACATGACAAAAATTAAGATTCTTAGCGATTCATGTCCTCTTCATGCGTCTTACCTTGACAATGTTGTCGTGGTCCAAGCGTCTGATGATCTTGATTTCCCTCAGGGCGTGTTTAACACTCTGGGGGTCGGTCAAGATGATCTTCTTCACAGCTACACGTTTATCACAGTCAGTGTCAACTGCAGAGAACACCAAGCCGTTCCCTCCGTAGCCAAGAGGCTTCAAGTCCATGTAGCGAGAACCCAGGTCAAAGCCGTGGATGTTCATCAGGGACTCAAATTTCTCAGCCATGATGATTAGTTTTGCCTTTTTTCACACACTAAGCTTTAGCTATTTCTAATGTTTGGTCTCTGGGCTATTTCAAGTCAAACTTTAAGACCAACAGAGGAATCTGTCAGACAAGTCCTCCGCTGCTTCAGAGGCAAAACTGACGGTCCCCTGTATAGACGACTACCCTGTCCCCCCTTGAGGACTGTCACAGTCAAATGTGGGGCACAAATTTGTAATCCATCTTTTTTCCCATTTCAAATAAGGAGATATAATACTATATTTAATTCCTCCTTAAATAACTGGTTCTAGTAGAATAGTGCTCAAAAACAGAAATGGAATGAACTAGAATGGGGCCAATTAAAAAGCACTTATATTATGTTTAACTATAAAATCATGTAGTTGCATCCTTACAGTGCAGATACATTCAGTGTATGACTGGTCCTGAGTAGCTTCATGTGAAATGTGCTTAAATACACACCTTTTTTTGAAGTATCTGTCTATGTTTGTTTTGTTTTTTTTTGTTTTTGTTTTTTTTTCTGTCAAGTAACCTGATCTATAAAACTGAAATGAGTCTGGCCTTTAAGTCTTAAGATATTATTCACCCTCAATGATCAGGTGGCTCAAGCTCGCCACAGTCACAATCAAAACTATCCTCCATTTTACTTGTGTATAACCTGGAAGAAAAGAGAAAAAGACAACAAAGAAAGGCTTAGTTTAATAGAATATAAACCATATAAGCTAAGCCATTATGAACATCTAGGTAAGATAGTGTAATCCAATACAACAACTCTGCTAATAAAACATCTCTACCAAAAACCCACTACGTTTTCTATAATAAATATCAAGTACAACAAAACCAGTCGTGCCACGTCGACAAAAACTGATCATGTAGATGCTTCATAAAGAGGTAGGATTTGTGGTAGAGCTGTTGTTTTGGGTTGCATTAGACTATCCAGGTGTTATTAATGTTATGGCTGGCCGGTATGTTTTCAGAGCATGAAAAGAAAGGGTCTGGAGCCATCGTTTGAATACGCAAAATACCTCAAAATGGTCACACCCTACTCTTATCAAGTTTAAAATATTTAGGGAGGTTAATAAAATATTACAAGAAACCATTATTCACCGGCTTTAGTGTAAACGTGGTGTCTAATGGAAACTAACCCTCCCCCGCCCGGTTTAAGCGCTCGCTAGTCCGGTTTATGGGTATCGGTAAATATGAGATAAACACACACACAGACTTCACAAGGAATTAAATTAACTGGGATACTCCCATATTGTGTTTTAAATGATCAACTACTCTATTATTTGTGTAGCTATATCAATACTGCCTATTTCAGGCCTTCACCCGGTCTGACTGGCTGGCGGAAAAAAAGCCAAGAATGGAAGCATAACGGCCAACAGACGAGCCACCGTCAGACCTTAATCGACTTAAGTCTAAATTTAACAAACTGCCACGACCAACCATTCACAGACACATCTTCAACATCACATTAAAAAAGATAATGACCCCTTTCGCTACATATTTGAGAAATATCATCGCAAACGTAGAGGTGAAACCCTCTGATAGCACGAACAAAGGGCTCGTTGTTGGCGGAGGCTCCTGACTACGTGGAAACAGCTCGCCTCGCGCTAAGCAGCACAAAAGCCGTCAACGGTTAGAACCGCTAAAAGGTAAAACATATACAGCGAACAGACATAAGGTGTAAAAAGCGGTGACAAATATAGGCATGCCGCGGTTTACTTACAGTCCTTATTCGTCGCATTAGATTGGTTATTTCTGTTATCAAACCCTTGGCGAGGTTTGACGGTGCTCTGCTGCTGAGCTCCGAGAATCTGTTGCAATCGCCATTGAGGCTGGGCACGGCTATGAAAGGGAGGTGTGACGTCACACGACCCCCTCCACGGCCGATCGGAAATTCCCAATCACCGTGAGAGCACTTCACGGTCCGAATGATTATAGTAACTCTTAATTTTCTAACTTTAACAAGGTACATTGCTTGATTGATTTGAATTGACCTCGCAACATTAGAGTGCTGTTCAAAAGAGGCAAGAACCAATAACTATCATGGAAGTGGGCACAAAAATGAAACGTAGAGCCACCTTAATATCCATTATTCTAGACCTTGTGAAAAAAATGTGATAAACTACTAAACTTTTTTTTGACAATAACATTAAAGCAAAGGCATTTCTTTCCCCTTTTGAAAATCGATTCTTTCATGGAAATTCAATTATTTAATGAATAGCGTTTATGTTAGCTTTCTGTATGTCTGTGTGTCTGTGTTGTTGTATTTATCAGACTGACTGATAAATGAATACATACCTAGCCTATCTCTCTGTACCGATCTAATTCTTATCATCTCATCTACACTGACTACTGATGTTGTATCATCAACATCAAATTTTAAACTTCATAAAGTATCACAAAAGAAACATCACTGATAATTTCAATTTTGAGTTCTTCTGCATTTAAATGGTCAAAGTGACTATCCAAGAAACCTTTGGGTAGCCTGTAGTAACATTGTCCAACTGCTTGTTTTTGATAACGTGTTTATCATGTTGAGACAAGGAATAATGGGATAGTACCAGGTGGGTGCAAAAATGAACCCCTGCCACTCTAGGCCATCCACTTGGGCACGCCCCTGAACTGAAGCTGCACAGTTTACATTTGTTGAAATTGTATGAACATGTTTCCTCACATTATTTTGTTTAATATCTCTAATATAACCTCAAATTAAACCTTACTTTTTTAATGACCAGAATTAATTAACTTGCACTTTAAAGATAAAGCAAAGAATTAAAATGTATTTTTCGTCGTATGTATTATTCATTATTTACATCGATTAAAGTAACGCTTCGTAAAAAAACAATGTGTAGTAATATTAGTCAATATTAGTTGACTATCACTGATGAAACGCACTGATAAACTCTTTAAATATCAGATTTCCGAGCAGCACCTGAACGCAGCAGGAATTCATTCAAAACATGTGTTTGAAGTGTGGGATCACATGACAGCGCTGGATTCAAAATCAAACTTTATATTTACTCACGATTTTACGAATACAATTACGACTGGACCGTTTAACTGTCATGCCTCCAGAGCTCAACAACACCATAAAGATCTTTACAAGGAGATGAGGCACGTTTAAAACAAAGTTCAGTGACACCTGCTAACTTATAACACGTTTACTGGGAAATCATCTTTGTCAAAACATCGTCAGGTAGGTCAAAGAAAAGGAGGAGTTTTTGCCCACTTTAAGAGCTGTAGTTTTAGTCCTCCTTAAAGAATGAGAGGTATGAATAAGAGTACCCTACACTCTTGTATCCACATCCAAAAAGACGAGAAAAAGAAAAACAATAGTGGAACCAAAACATCAGGCAACACGAAAGCTTATTCTCTTACCTGAATAGAAGTCCTCGATGTTAATGTTTCGTACTGATTAAGTCAAATAAACAGAACCGTTTTGATTCCCTCTATATCCATAGCACTAGCTCTTTCCCCCCTGTTGTTTTGCTGGATTTTCCACGATTTGTTTTTCTCCAGCCTGTTTGTTTTGGTGGGAATTAACGCTGTTTCCAGATTATGACACGCAAGAGCCGAGCCAGTGAGGAAACTGCTGGGACAGTTCACTCACTGCGTCGTGCGGATTTATAAAAAGTCCATCTGGCACCGGGATGCGCAGGGGTTTCTCTTTTGACGGTCCGCCCTCATATCTGATCTCCCCGAGCAAAACAAAGTCAAGAAAACAGGCTGATCAGATCCCTTATTCGGACTGCGGTTATAGTGTCCTGCAGCCTCTGGTCCTCTCCCTCTCTCTCTAACTGTGGATGCTGCTGCTGTGATGGATGGATGGGCGGGCAGGCAGCAGGCAGCAGCAGCATCACAGACGCTGCAGCGAGTCTACATCAGCATCCGCAGACAGACCATGTGGGAACCCATGTGCCTAAGAATGCAGATGCCTCTCACAGGCCGGGATGGGCTCTGCGATACAGGAACAGCAGGGACTGCATGCGGACTGAGCTGGATGCGACAGACTCAGAGAACCGCTTACTGTAGTGGTTTACAAAGAGGGTAAACACTAAGGATCATCTCTGTATATGTAATCTTTTTTTAGGTGAGGAGAAGGTATAAATATGTTTTCTCTGATATATCAGCTCTAAAACACATGGTTATGTAATAGATGAAATGTAAACAATTGGATCCCATAATGTTAGGCTGAATTTGAAAAGGACACAGCAGTTTTTCCAGATGATAGTTTAAAATGAGTTTATAAATCAAACTGAGAATCAAATTATACCTTTAAGACCTGTGTTTTCATTGTCTTCTGAGGTCAGATGTTGAGTCAGTCACTCCTTGCTCTCTGCGAGGACATATATTTACCGATGTGACATTTTGAGCCACCCTTTGAGGAATACCCTGCCATCTTCTAACCAAGCAGGGACACTTTGCATCCTCAGGAACTTGGCAGGACAGCCTCTACCTCCCCTTTACATAATACTCTTTCCACTGACTGTCTCCTACCTCACCTTTAAACTCACCGATTAAGCTGTGACTCCAAAATACCAAATCTGCAGAAGAGGTTTTGCCTTTTCTTTGAGCGCTCTTTGCCACCTGGTACATGAAAAAGTCAGGAGGTGAAGCTAAACTGTATTTTCATATTTCATTCATTTTTTATTTTTTTTTTGGAGTCAACAGGTCAAGAAAATCTGCTGTTCTTATGTTATTTATATTCCAGTCACAAGCCATAACTTACTCCAGCAGGGTCATAAACGCCGGCTTTACTTGTTACATCATGAGACAAACAGTTGACATCAAGTCTGAGTCCAACACCTCAGACCGTGTCTTTTAGCTGAGATTACAGAGGCGCCACATGTACTATCTGTCAGCTGTAACACTGGTTCAAAACAAAACACAGGGCATTATTACAATCCAGGGGTCACACTTGTGTAATGGGGCAACTTTCCCATGAAAACCTTTGTTCAGACTCTTACATTCGCACTTTTATCTATGTAGGGCACTTGAGCGTCTCAGCGCCAGTCCTCTTCTCAAGCTCACAAAACCGCAACACCCATATTTCTACTTTCTCTTGATTTTTTTCACCTTAATGCGAGGTAAAATCAGCAGTACTCTCTGCCACATGTCTGTCACACTAATGTTGATTTGTTTGAAAGAAAGTTGAACATTTTTGCAACTCACCCAGACTGGAATTATCCCAAGAAGAGTGTCGCAACATGGTACAAAAGGTAATATCCCATCCAGGAGAATTGTAGTTTAAATCCAACAGTTCAGGTCCGACGGTGAGACAGGTGTACAGGTTTTAGTGCATTCCACTATCTCCCTGTAAATGTGTGTGTGGGTATGTGAATGTATTCTCAGAGTGTTATCCCACTCCATGTGCCTCTGGCTGTGAGGTGGAGCTCCATGGACAGTTAATATAGGCCAGTCCAGAGAGGGGAGGAGACTGCTCCAGTCTGTGTATGGCTTGGCCTTTCAGTGTGTCAAACCCACCAACACCACCACCTCTCTGTCCCTCTGTTTCACTGCTACTTTCTAAATCTTTATTTTTATCAGCTCTTGTTGATGTTTTGGTTCAGTCCAAGGAAAAAAAAAAAAACATAATCTCATGTCTGCAACATATTCATGTGTCTATGCGTGACCTTTCCTAATCCAGTTTTGGCGATTCACAATTTTTCATCTGTCAGTTTACATGAAGGGATTACACAGCCCTACTGGGTTGTGATTGTCCTGCGTCACTCTGACTGATGAAAATCCTGAGAAAAACATTTGAATGAAATGAAAACTGAATGAAGAAGTACAAGCTCATCTTGCTATGACTGAGGTAGATTATCTCACAATAAATGATTGTTGTGTTGTTGAAAAGAGAGGACTGTACAGGAAGACATTTATATGTGTTTGCAGTCGATCCTGTGAGTGGGTGTCTTGAGTTTTATCGCCCTCTTTAAAAAACTGGTCTGTATCAGCGGGATGTTTATGAAGTTTTGACTCTACAAATGTCAGAGTCCAGTTATGGCTGATCCCTGTGGAGTACAATGTATGCCTGTTTTCCTGTTGCCCTACATTCACAATTCTCCTTCCTGAAACCCGTATCTACTCTCAGATAGTCACAACATCACATGGTGTGCGTCTGCCACTTTCTGCAGACAGACTGACCCCCTCCTCATCATACTCATCCTCCTCCGTCTTCATCTGCCTGCTTGTCATATGCCAGATTGCTGGCACCTCAGCAGACTGGCATAATGAACTGTTTGTGTGTGTGTGTGTATTTGTGTATTATCAAACCAGACTGCTGCTGGTCTAGACTAGCTGTGTGTTATCAAAATATCTGAAAGGAAATGAGGGCGTAGCTGAGGGTCTCATGTAGAAAGTTTGTATTTTGCCGTTTCTGTGGTATGCATTGAGGACGGTAGGCTTACCATCGCCTACCTGCCTCAATGCAGTCCAACAGCAGTGTCAGGGTCATGATTTCAACAGTTTAATATTGATCAGATACCCTAATTTGAATAAAGTGAAGTCATTCATTATGTGTCAATCATAAATGACATGTTTTTAGTGCTGCAGTGGACGAGCTGTAGGTCAAAACTTGTGGAATCCAGCCATCATTATTCACAACAAGGGGAAAGTGGTGTTAAAACATCTTCACAATTTTAATTGTGTGTTAGTTAGTTTTTGTGGGTTTTTTTAAGACAAAGAGAGTCAAGGAGTCTACTAACGAAGCTAACTTGTTTCGCTTGATTTTAGGACAAGATTTTATTAGTACTCATCGTTTTCAAAGTATCTACAAAAAACGACATGCAGAACAAGCTCCTTAAAGCTCCTGTGAGGAATTTTATGATGTTTATGAAATACACTAATATTCATACAGATGCTTTTTTGTGATCTACAAAAGCAAACAAGACTATCAGCAACAACACTGAAAAATAGTATTTTGAAATTTTTAATGCCTAAACCTGGTGTGAGAGGGTAGGTGTCAGCAGAAGAAGCCCTGGTTTTACATGTTCTGCTTCTTCAGTATATAAAGGACAAGATCAGCAAAGACTGCTTTGTCACAGGGGGCGCCAAAACTGTCACAAAGAAAAACTTCCACACCAGAGCGTTAAAAGTTAAGTTTTGATTTTATTGGCGGGGGGTTGCACCTGAAATGGGAGATAAACTGTAGAGTGGGAAACCGGGGAGAAAGTGTAGGGAATGATATCGAGCAAAGGGTCAAGGGTCAGCATCGAACCTGTGATCTAACTGCTAAGCGTAACCAAAGCCCTGGTAGCTTAAATCGGTAAATACACTTAAAATCGTAACTGCATGTTAAAATCAGTCAGTTTCTCTCTAATGCTGTTTGGAGGTTAGCTTCTGTGACGCTAAGCACACTGACATCCTCAGCCCGGTGCGTTCAAACAAAGAAAAAGTGTAACGACGATAACGTTCAAGATCATAAATCCAGTGGTGCTTATGCTGTTGTCGTGTGGGCTTGTCTCTGCGTGACTCAGTCACACAAAGGACAGTCTGTCTATGAGTGACGCTGCACTCAGGAAGAAAACCCATTAATTAATTAATCACTGATTACCCTGAATGAGCACAGCGAGAGAGGGCGTTACATAACACAACTTACAGAAGAAATACAGCGCTCAGAATGATCTTTTCCATAGTGTCAGCCCTTACGCAACAGCATGTCTCAGTGGACTTGAAGCCAAGGTGCAGAATGGTTCAACAGTATGAATTCTTACACCTCTGTTTATCTCTGAGACCAGCTGACCCTCTCCGGGGGCTGTTTTATCCAGAGACACCCTATATACAATAAAACTAACAAGCAGAAGAAGCATTTCACAGTGTTGTGAAACAGACCGAGGAGTTGGCACACTTTCCCTGCTGCGGTTGCATCTCCAGTGAACGAGGAAAACATGTTTACATTAACACAGTGTTTTGTGGTTTGATTCGCAGTAAGGTGATACTCGCGGGGCGATCCTGGAGAGCCCAGATAGTTCCTACAAATTTATCAGAGCTGTCCTGATACTGGTACCATTATCAATTAGCCTCAATAATCGGGCAGAATGAAATACCTGGTTTTAATAAGTGTGACAGTTTCAGGTTAAAACTCCTGTAAATATGACAAATAATAACAGCTTGATGCTAACAGAGAGTGAAATGTCAATGAAAACTGCAGAAATTTCAGCATCTGTTTCTTTCAAAGATATTATTAATTTCAGTGTCTAAGGGGTCATTTGTATCAGCTGCTATTCAAATCCATAGAAATGTAGATGGTGAGGAAACACCGTTTACATTAATGAATGCTTATTTCTAAACCCTTCAGGTCTGTACCTCAAATTTAAGGTTGGAGAACTTCTCCTCCTCACACACATCACCTCAGAGGGTCTCTCTGCTCCTGCGCCATCACTGACTGAGACAAATTTACATGCCTGTCTGCATGACAATCAGGTTTATGTGCAGGCCAGATGGGATTATATTTAGCTTGATTTTCCCCTAGGGGAGAAAGTTAGTGGGACATGACTTTATTATGTAACACACAATAGTGACTCCACCACTTTATGAAGATTTTGGCCTAAAAGTGTGTGTTTCTACAGAGAAGAGATCTCAAGGAAGCGACATAAAAATGATTCAAATGATATGTTTTTATCAGTAAATTCTGCATTTGTAGAATTTTTGTTATGCAATTTAATAGGGTAACAGTGGGTTCATTCATTTTGTTCACCTCAAGAGACAGGCAAATGCACTTAACAAAACAGGCCCTTTACACTAGTCCAAATTATTAAATGTACTTTGCATAGAAGCAGATTATTAAGAGTAAGAATCCAGCTGCCAACATGGCTGCACATCTTGACTCTCTGACCTGTTTTACCAGCTTTCCTGCATTTTAGTGCACTACTGGGACAAGAAAATCAAAGGGAGAGGAGAGAAGAGAGACTGGAGGAGAGCAGACGGCCATCTGCCTCTGCTCTGCTGTCCTCTCTCCATCTGTGAGGGGCGCATCCTAAGACCCGCTGAGCTCTGTTTATATAACTGTGTATGTCTGTGTGCAAGTGTGTAAAAGATTGGTGCTGGGACCTCAAAATTAATAATCTAGATCATCAGTTAAATTGGCTGAAATTCTGTGATTCAATTATATGTTTTTATACATTTTTCAGATGGGTCATTGAACATGGAGAAATGCAGATCAAACAGCAGGTACGACTGCAAATCGTGAGCCCATGTCTCCCAAACCTAAGCTTAAAAATCTTCAAACTAGCTACACAGGGCTCAGCTGTTTTCATCGGGGGTTGATTGTTCTCTAATCTAATTTTTTTTAACAAGTAGGTGATCAAAACATTGAAGTCAGTAGTTTTGAGTTGACGTCCAGTTACTCCTTGGCACTCTTCGGACGTTAACACAGCAACGCCAACGCTAGCTCACTAACCCATCAAACACATTCAGAAAAAAAGCTGTTAAAAAAGACAATGGTGTGAATTGAAATTCTAGCCTCACAGCAGTTATTATCCAGCTGTGTTAATACTTGACTCTGATTTGTTAAAAACCCATAAAAATGGTATTTAACTCATTTAGCTACAACCCAAAGCAGTGTCAATGATGCAGTGAGCAACATGTTGTCCTGCGATCCAGGCAACAGCAGCAGAGCAGGTGAGTGTATCATTACGTAGCTGATTGCTGCAACTTAAAATGAAAGAGGAGGCAATGACTAAAACAATGGTAAAAGTTCAACATTACTTTGAATAGGAACCCTAAATGAGTATTATTACAAATAAGCACTTTTTTTTTTCTTCCAAAATTTGGCTGAGTTTACACATTAAAAACATAGACTGTGTACAGAATGGACGCCATCTGCCTCCTCACTCGGTGAAGCCACCGCAAGAACAGCACCCTCTATTGATGGGCTGCAGTATAGGTCATAAATCCAGCCTCCTCCAGCAATCCCTATGGAGCTGTGGACAAACTTTAGAAATTTATTACACAAGGATTGGAACACAATACCACAAAACATAAGAGAGTCCAATTCATACAGAGCATTTAAAGTAAATTTGAAGAGGTGGTTACTTGAAAACCAAACTTGTTACCATTAGTTGGTTGGTGTGCTTTCGGGTGGGTTATGTTGATGTTTTAAATATTGTGTATTATGTATGTTTTTATGTAGTTGCTGATTTCCCACCTTTTTAGGTAGCCATGTTCCTTCTGGCAGGGGGACTACCAATGGAAATTAGCCTTGTGGCTACAATTGGGTCCATTTACATTTTATCTTTTTAAAATGTTCATTAATGTACACTGTCCCTCTTTAACAAATAAAAAGGAAAAAAAAAAAAAAAAAAAAATGTACATTTTTCTCCCACTAGTTGGGATGTTGACATGTAGTTACAGTAAGACTGCTCAAGTCCTCTTTTTTCCATGTAGCTCCATTTTTAAAAGTTATTCAGGAGTTCATGTTTACTATGATTTACCCTTGATACAGCCTATGGGCAAAGATTATGTAGCTCACCTGGGGGATACGCTGTTCGACTCGAGCGTCATCACAGCGACGCTCCCGCTGAATGTGTACAATGCTACTGCGCAAGTGGTGGTTCCAGGAGGTGGAGAAAATCCCGGAAATGCCGAGAGCAATTTGGCACCAAATCTGTATAATGACCAAAGGCGGAACCAAGTTGTCCATAGTATATACAGTCTATGGTTGAGAATCTGTTTCCTGGTAATAATACAGGCCATGGAGTATTAGCAAAGCTCCCATTAAAGTTGTGTAAATAAACTTCAAGTCACTAATTTGTGTCAACTTATTTGCTCGTTGTTGGGCAGCCAACAGGCAAGATATTTTACCTGGCGCTGACTTTGTTGGGTTTCTTATTTGACCATGCTCATCCTCCATTATCTCTCACCAGGTCAAATGGGGATCTCGAGGTCACAGGTAAGGTGTAATCAGGTAATGGGGAGGATTTGAGTCTGAGCAAGTCCCCGGGAAATGAACTTGACTCCATATTACTAACCCTGAGGTGACCTCAGCCAACATGTTTGTGTGTATGTATGTGTGTGTGTGAGTTTTGCGTATTAATCATCCTCTCTATGATGTGATGTAACCTGTTTTGTCTGCTCCTTGTCCTCCCACAAACAATCCAAACACCTGTCACTCCTCAGGATATTCTGCAGAGAAAATAATTAAGGGATCTGGCGGGGACATTGAGTGTGCTGCCTGTTTGATGCGATTGAATGTGCTTGTGTGGGTCAGAGATAAAACTGTGTGTGTGTTGGTGATGTAAGGGGATCAGAAGCTTTGGAATCTGGTAGGTTTCTTAACAGGACTAATACATAATAAACCTTTCAATTCTAGGTGCTCCGGCATTTTAAATCACCCATGTTTGTTACAGATGACAAACATGTTGTCAAAGTTGCTTTCCTGCTGATATTTCCCTGATCTCTTTGTGGATTCTACCTGCGTGAATTAACCTGGATTAGATTTAAATGTGTCTTTAATTAGCCTAGAGCTGTTTGTCTGCACACATTTAGACAACTGGGTTAGTAATCTTGCAGTATGTTGTGCCTAAAGCGTTTGATTCTGTCAGTGTAACCTACTGTGTACTCTATTTATATAGGAAATCCAGCTCTGGGACAGGTATTACATGGAAAAAAAGACCTCTTCTGTCTTAAGCTGGAGTTTGCCCTCTTGTTAAAGAGTGATGAAAATCCTTTAAGCGACCTAAATTCTCAGATGACAAATCTTAAATGAGGTTCATGTCAACAAGAGGCTCACAGGTCTTGGACACTTCCTAAGAGTTTGATGACACACTTGACTGGAAACTTTTCATTGTAATAAAACCATAAAGATTAAAATCAGGGTCAAAGTTGATTCATGCCTTTTTTTTCTCCGGGAAAGTGACGAAAGAAGTACCAGAGTGGAAGAAAACAGTGTTTTGTGCCCGACAGAGGCTATAAAACTCAGCAAGAACAAAGTGTCCATGGCATACAGGGAGAGACTGACAGACTGATTGATAAGAGAGGTGTAATTTATAATGCTGTGTGTAATATCTGATAATAATAACCCACAACTTCTGCCCCCTTACTGGCTTTAGACCATCTACAAAGTCTTATTACTCATAATATTTGTGTTTTAAATAAGATCAAGGACGTTCTGTCTTTTTATCAGCTGCTGTCTGAGCATATTTCATAACTCCTCTTTGTCTGTTGTCTGCATGTTTTTAGTCCAGTATCAAATATTTTCCTCTAAATCGTCTACGTGTGCTGCGTCAGTAAATGTTTGCATATAAACACAGCACTTTTTTGCCAAAGAAGAGAGAGTGCGTGTATTTGTCTGGGCTGATGTGTATTTACGCAATAAAGGTCACAATAGTGTTTCCACCTGTGGACTTAATTTCCAACAATTATATAACCTCCCCCTTATCTCTCTTCCCAGACTTTCCTTCACATTTCCACTTGCTGACTTTTGGCTGCTCCCCTCAATTCTTTAAGCCACAAGAAGCAAAATCCACAGTAGCCTTCAAATTATGTAATTAAGGGTCTTATCAGCATAAAAAGACGCATCAAAAAAGTTTTAGAAATAAGTTTTAATCCAAATTCAAGATAATATTTAAGCGTCTGGAAACTTTCCTGATATCGGTCTTGATTGGGCTTGACTTAGCTTTGATACTAATGATGTCATTTATTCATAATTGTCTCATGAGTTAAGTCCCACAGTAGTTCAAATCCAGCGTTTGCAGCATCCTCGATGGACGACTGATGGCTTTAGAAATTGAGTATTACAGAGTAGAAAAAGGAGGGAAAAACCTGGTTTTAATCCTCAGAAACTTAATCAAAACCCAGATCCAAAGTAACTTTCAAGATCCTTAAAAACTTTACAAGACCCCAAGGAACTTGTTCAACATGCCAACAAACTTTAACAAGAAGACTTTTAATCCTGAGAGATCCAGAAAAAACTTTTATGAGAACCAGTAAATGTCCGTGAGAGCCCTTCTTCACCAAGATCCCCACAAAACTATTGTAAGATCCTAAAAAGTCTTTCTAGAAGATTCTAAGAAACTTTTTGGGGATGTCTAAAAACTCTTGTAAGAAGATGAGTGACTATTGTGAGATCTGAAAACACACAAATACTACTACTGTTAGACCTGTTGACATTTATTGCCATAAATTAAATTAAAATCAGTCTAATATTGTCAGGTAAATAGTACACATACTTCCTATATTAATATAGGCACTGCAACCACACATCTGTATGAGCTGTTGTTGTTGTTTGTCTCTATCCATCTTCCACTCTCTGCATCACCCTCTGTCCTCTTTTCAATCCAAACTTGTAGCAGCAGATGACTGTCTGACATGAGTCTTGTTCTGCTCAGGGTTTTTGCCTCTTAAAAGGGAGTTTTTCCTCACTGCTGTAACTTGTTATATGCTCATGTTGGATTGAGATGTGATATGAGTGGGTCTCATCTAACAAAGTGAGTCTTTTCTTATCTTGATAGTGAGTCTAAAGGGTAGAGTTTAGACCTGCTCTTTTGTTTTTAGTTTCATCCACACTGGCCTGTTTTCATGGGGAAAGGGGGGATTCATGCAGATGCAGAACTCGGATAACTTTGTAACATAAAGCTAGCCAACACTTGAGACCCAGTCATTCAATGAAATGAATTCCTCTGAAAACAAATAGGGACACCTCAGATAATGTTGCATGTACCTGCTAAATGCTAGCTGTGATATGGATGGTACTGCATTTGTACTCCACCATCAGGGATCATTTCAAACAGGTATTTCCTGTTGTCGTCTCTAACTCTGTCCCAGACTATCAAACAAAGCTACACTGTGCCCACTTTCTATAGTTTTTGCATACTAAACTTGGCAGGGGTCAATCGAAACATAATTGGCCACGCCCCCACAGTTATACACCATGCAGCACATGACGCAGTACGAGAGGCTTAGGTACTGATAGTCTCACGTCCTGGCATAGATGTTTGAAGATGGCAGTCGCCATGTTGGAAATGCTCCAACTTATTTTCAACTAAGCTACAAACAACAAAAGAAGAGTAGTTAGAGGCCAAAGCTTTGCCCAGGTACACGTCACTTTTAGCCTAAATACAATCAAAGCAGATGATTTATATTGAAAATTTATCTCAGGTAGTTTTTACAAAAGTTAGGTGTAGGGATGTAAAATAAATGTTTCTGCTCAAATAAAAAGTGGGTTTCCTCGACTTTTCCTGCCAGTCTCAAGTTGAGTTAAAGCACAACCTCAACACTGAAGTTCTGCTTCTTCCCTCTGGGTTTTTCCTCCAGTTATGATGGTTTATTCTCACCCAGTGTTTTGTGGATGCTTACAAGACTCTGAACTTAGATGTCATGGAGGCATGACAATTTCTTTTTCCGTTGTGCTTCTAGAGGCTTTACCAGCCCAGTGCAGCATCAAGCCTCTTATCTCACATCACGTCACACTAGCGGTACATATAGGATTGATTGGCCTCTTCTGTCATAGCGTGTGTGTCACAGGCGCTGAGCCACGGCAGCACTCGCCATTAATCAGAGTCCACTCACAGCTGAACCTGAACCTCGCTCAGACCGCTCAGCGTGTTGGCCTCCATCCCTCT